TTGTAAAACAAGCCAATTTACTTCGTGAACTCGGCAACCAGGATACCGTTTTTTTTATTCCTCCAGTGTTTTTTTTGGCGGTAACCGTACTGGTGGTCGAGTAGGTCATGTTGTGCGGGGTCGAGAACGCTCGCTCCGCGCAAGGGGGATGATCGCACCACGTTGTGTTATATTGGTCAAGCACCCTCGAGGCAGTTACACAGTGCTTACAACTGTCTCTGGAAGTGAAAGCACCAGAAAATAAATTAATTCATACGCAGCTGTCATCCGTACGCAAGGAAGTAAGCACAAGATGCCGAACACCCTTAGCAGGATGCAGCGCACCCTTCATGCGACTCGCCGAATATCTCACGGCGCTTCGCGCTTGGTGATGTGAGAGCCTGGTCCGGTGAGAACCCGGCGTGCTCCGTCCCGGCTTTGTAGGGATGCGAGGTCAATGGTCTAACGACTACGGCATGCACGACTATGAGTACCCCCCCCCCCCTCCCGTCCGTGCCTCCTGATTGCACCTCTAGGCATGGCCTGTATCAGCGATGTACCCTCATGGATCGCGCCCCAAACGATTGGCGCAGTCTCCATGGTACGACGGCGAAACGACGGCGAACGATGTTCGGGCGTCCACTGCCGGGCCTGGGATGAGGCGCGCCGCGGCCAGCCATGGGTAAGAACCGTAATAAACGTTGTTTCCGTCCCCGCAGTACAGTGCTTCAACCGTTGTTGTCTCTCTGTTGGTGAGTATTTGGTTTTGGCGGGCGGTATGTTCCAATGGTCTCTTAGCCAAGGTGCTCTCCAAACGACTACCGTACTTGATGCACATGCCGGACTTGGTTGTTGGACCTATGTATACCTTCGTGTGGTCCACCCCAATGGCATTTATTGGTAAGTTCTGTTTCGGTCGTTTCATGAAAACTTGCTCAGGTTCTGCAGTCTCTTGTCGTCCACAGTTTTTCGAAACCCAATAACCTTGTGTCCGTATTCTTCGGTGTTGTGCCCTCGGGACAAAATTTGGTCACCGAGGTAGAAAATGTATATCCATGTACAGTGTAGGCCAGTTTAACAAGATACCGGTGAGAAAAACAGCCAAAATGCTCACGAGTAATATACAAAATATGAGAAACATAGTTCAGCCAAACAACCTGCACTAAAACAACTACAAGTATCAAGTACCCTTGCTCAACGTTGGTGAAAACATAACCAAATGATCTTCGACCCGAAACTGACTTTGCCGGACCTCGTACTGTATACCATCTCCTCACCCCCCACCCCCCAGGTACTTACCTGACAAATCGACCCCCCTCTCCTACCGTTCTTGCCTCGGAAACCAGGGTGACCATGTCCATTCTAGGGCGGAACGCTCTCCTCGACACCACGAACGCCGGAGCGGCTTCGCCGCAACGGTTGCGGTCGCTGAGGGGTTCCGCATTGAGGTCAGCTACCGCTGCCTGGGGTGAAGGAGGCGGGAGGGGTTCGACGGGTGGAAGAACTAGTCCTAATGTGGTTCACGTGCGCACCACCAAAAGGATGGACCAGGAGATGGGGTTCCTCAGAGTAGGCACGTACTTTACGGTGAGAAACATGCACCGGGAGTCGGAGAATGTCACCGCAGCACTATGGGTAACTTATTTTTGTTGGGTGAATTGATGATATAGCGGGTAGCCTTTCAACGACGTGCGACAACACGGTACGAGCGAGCATGGAAGAAATCCAAACCAATCGAGAGTGGGTCATGGGGCGTGAGACGATGGGTTAAACTGGTAAGAATTAAGCGTGCTTGAGCACAACAAGGGATGTCGCTTTGGGACGGCGTGCAGGACGACCGTCACCACCGTGGCGTGGAGAGCATCGCTGGCCTTGTCTAACTGAATTGCTGTAGCGAAGGTGTCGTTGTCGTACCCGCTTTGCTTGCGCCTTCTGGGCTCGCAATATTCAGGCTCGTAATAACGAGGTTGGGGGTGGATGTCGCTTGGTGGAGGTCATGACTTCACATTGGTGACTTTCCGCCATGCGTACAAGTCGTTCAGCTTCGCAGCATGGTTCTATCAAACCTTCGTTTGTGCCCCCAAGCGAAAGTTTTCCTTCCCCGTCCAATGCCTCAAAAGACCTCCGTACGCGGTTGAAGCTCCAAGCATCCTACATCCGTGATGGTTGTGGCTTGAAACTTTGACTGTCTCCTTGAACGCGCCGTCACTATCCATCGAATGATAGATCGTGCCTGGCGTTTGCACCGACGTTCGAGATTTCTAGCCATGGTAGACTCATAGCATCAAAAGCCATGGATACGTGCTCCGCCTGGTTTGGCTCACAGCGAGGTTGTGAGTAGCCTGGTTTGTTGCAGCAGTTTGTTTTCTACCCTTCGTGTGCAGACCCCGTCGCCATGTAGAACTGAACGTGAATGCAAGTCCCGGGGGGGGAAAGGGAACAGCCTGAAAGAATTTACTGCGATGTGGCACTACGGGAATAAGCTAGTTTAGGAAATAAATATGCTAATCCAGGTATGTTACGCAACACCCTTCCAGCACGGAACATACAATTATATGAGTTGTTCCTGCAACTTGCCCCCGACTACGTGCGACTGCTGCGGCTGCTGCTGTCGGCTGTATTCCGCAGGCATCCAAAGACCCTCTGAGGCACGGTTTGACTACTGCACTGGCCGGAAGGCTTGTTCGACAGACGGACCATGACGGTCTGAAGTGGGACCTGCTCAAGCAAGTCCTCAAGGTTTGTAGTATCTTTGTGTGATGTTGTCGTTGTGCCTAGTCTGCTCTATTCATGTCTTGACCATGTGTGAGTCGCGATAGCCAGCTACAACCTCATGTGAGCCTCGTGCTGCAAGGGTGCGATTTGGTCGCAAGTGGAGGTTTGATTGCGTTCGACTCTCTCTGGAGGGATGGTGCGTCAGTAAGCAGCCGCGTGAAGCTCAACCCTCCCCCCCTGTAGCCAACACAAATCCGCTCAACCGCAGACGAAATATAATGCCGTACGGCTTCTTGGCTCTTGCCGCAGTGTGAGACCTGAGGTTGTGTCCGCTTATCGCCCAAAAGTGGAACAGGCTGGCGTGCATGCCTTTTCGCCTGATGCATTTCACGTTGCGCCAGGTCTTTCAGCTCCATCTGTGACGTTAGCTCAGCAGTATGCACTCGCTCGTATCAGTTGACCCATATCGAACTATTGCTGTTGATGTTGTCTTTACACAACCTAAAAACTGTTCCGATTTCTCCATCCAGTACCTCCCTCTGCCCATATGGTCGCGCTTATTGATCACTCATTTTGCAAGAAAGCTGCCCCACTCAGCATAATTCGCTCCTTTGGACCTGGCTGGGTCTTTGTATTGTATGGTGAGTTGACGGGCAGCTCCTTGCCTCGGCTACTGCTACGGCTGCGCCGCCTCTGATATGCTTCACTGATGCCAGGTGATCACAGGGTCGCAGCACGGACTACCGCTACAGGCTGTGAAAGAAGTAGCCGCTGCATTTGGAACGGTCGTCGGCACCTCCAAATTGGCCACCAAGGCTCAGGTATGGAAGGCGGTGACGAAGGACATATCTGTATCGTTGCCCGTACGTGGTCAGCGATATCCCGTCCAGTTATCGATGAAGCGTCCGCGCCCGGAGAGGGAGTCGGTGCTGTTCCACAAGTTGTTGGGGATTGCGCCACCGGTGCCTACTGCGACGGGTTCCGCGTCTAGGAGCGCGATGGCCAGCGAAAGCCCTCGTCGGGAACAGACAAACGCTGTATGTTTCCATGCCAAAAGGATTACCGAGAGTATGGACCATCAAGAACCGTCCAAGCACACGGTAGTCAGCTAACATCCAGTGTGGTAGAGAGAGAGAGAGAGAGAGAGAGAGAGAGAGACTCACCCCCTCCCAGGTCTTCTTGTCCACCCCTGCCGTTCCGCGTTCGTGCCCTTTCCCGTCCTGGTCCCGTTCCGTCGGGAACGCTCAACCTCCCTCCCGCCTACCATCCCCAGTTCGTCGACAATATCACGGGGAAGCACGAGGGATTTCCCGAGAGCGAGCTGAACACCCTCTTCGGGTTCTTCCGGGGACCGATGGCACCCGGTCCCACCACGGCCGCCACCTTTTCCGAGGAAAACCGCAACAAATGCATACAATCACAGCAACGCGGAGGAGTCGGAACCAATAGCAGTAGGCCGCGAACATCCCCAGGTAATTTCAGTAGAGCTGGTAAAAGCGGTAGTCGTGGCGGCAAGGAGAAAGAGCGTGCCCAGGGAGCAGACTGGACTATGGCCGTGGCGTGCTTGAGGCTACTCGCGAAACCGAAGGAGCCGGTAAAGGCGGCGGTGCTTGGAGTGTTTGATGTGTTTGCGCGTGCCCGGGGGGACAGGATGCGCCACAGGCATCGCTTGGAGCAGGAGAGGCTCGAGAAAGAGAGGCAGGCGCACCTGGAGGAGGAGCGAGAGAGGTGGAAGCGCAGGCGTAGGCGGGAACAAGAGAAGGGGATCGCGCCTTCCATACAGCAGGTGCGAAGAGCCCTTCTCAAAACACTAAAACCCTAAGGTCCCACCCAAAATTATCTCCGAAGCTTAGCGGTTTTTAATGGTAGGTCATCGTCAATAGCTTTTTCCGAGAGGGGTAGAACCGTCCGGGGCATGCCATTACGACCAGGACCTATTCCGCAAGCTTCAGTCAAACGCGAACGCGAGGTAGCGCGACGCCTGCTTTGGTGTTTTCTGGTGCAGTGTAGCAAACCTAAACCCTACCTCTCGCCATGCTGCTGCCACTGCCGGTGCTCCTCCCCAAGGGTCTTGCCGGTCCGGAATCTCACAGTGCTTTCGCACTGTCCAGCGCGGACGGCATCGGCGGCGGCGGCGGCAACCGCCATGGCGGGGACGACGACCGCGGAAATTCCAGCTTAGAATGGAACCGCGTTTGCTTCGCCGAGACGGCCCGCATGTTCACCCTGGTGTGCAGCAACGACCAGGAGCGGCACGCCGTGACGACGACGTATCGCCACCGCTTCTGCCTGGAGCTGAGAGCGGTCATGCAGGAAGGGAGGGACCCCCTCCGTTTCAGGAACAACCAGAACAACGGTGGCGACGGCGGTTACGACTCGCCTAATATGATAGAGTCCGACCGATTTCTTTCGCCACCACACCGCCCCAGCAATCGCTCGTCGGAAGATGGAAAAGCCTCCTCGCTGCAGCCCGACGCATACTCTTCTACCGAGACGCCACATGTCTTGCCCACCGGCGGTCGGCCGACAACAGCAAAACCCGCGAAGGAACGACCTGGTATTCGGCTGCAAAAGGGAGAAAGACATGGTCGAGGAGGGGACAGCGGGATGGGTTCGCCCGGGCCAGAAGAGAATGGCATCACGGCGGAAGAGTTTTCGGAGGCTTTGGCGCGATGCCCCGAAATGCTCGAAGCGTTCGGGAGCCAGCTAGACGCGAGGCTACGACACCGACATCGGCCTATTTGGATGGCGCCGTTCATGAGGCAGGGGGGCTAGCACACATGTGCATGACTTCAAGTAAATATCTGTGTATTGTCCGCATGTGCTGCTATTTTATGGCGGGGCAGTCTTCGGGCGGTTCTGTGGCTCGAGCGCGGGGGAGTTGGAAACGTGTATGTCGCGTTTGTCTGTGTTTTACCCGGGTTTCCTTGCGACCTGACTAGAAGCATGTAACCGCTCACGTCTGATGCTGTCGTCACACCGTAATGCCGGTTTAATAGGGCTTAATTCCATGTCTGCCAATACGTGCGCCAATTTTCGCAGTTTTTTCCACCGCACAGTCATCTACGCCCACCGCCTCCGCCTTCGCCTTGTCTCGTTCAGCCTCTTGCTTCCTCCGCTCTGCCTCTTGCTGCGACCGCTCTGCCTCTGCTCTCTTGGCCTTCTCCTCCTTTAGCGCCTCGGTGCTCTCGCGCGCGAGCTCCTGAGCCATGCTGCACTCAGCGGTGCTTGCCGCCTCGCGCTGTTTAATTTCGACCAACTCATGCTCCTTTTCTGTCAGCGCTTTCTGTGCGGCGGCAACACCGCCCCTTTCGACCGCACGCCGTGTGTTTGACGCTGCGCAGGCAGCGTACACAGACTGCCCCGACGCCTGTTCGTACTTGGCTTGGTTATTCCTGAGGTTCTTCGCGGCTCGCCTGCTGCCGCCACCAAAAACGCGCCTCTTTTTTTTTTGGTTACGGTTTTTTTGCTGCTGTGCTTCGCTGACAGGCGCTGCAGGAGACCCGCTTGGAAGACCATTTTCAGACATGTAGATCTCGCTGTTGACTTGAGCGATTCCAGTTCGGTCTTTTGTGTTGTGTCGTCTAACTCCCAAGGTGGTGCACTGCAAGCTCGCTTTCTCAAGAAAGTCAGAGGCGGCCTCGGGCATTGGCCATACAGCTGAAATTTGTAGGTAGTATGGGCTCCGATCCGGGGCCACCCAAACATTCATATGCTTACTCTCAGACTTGTTTCAGAGACTACAAAAATATGAGTTAAACTTTTTCGCGAAGCTGGTGTAAAGATCGAAAGAAATATTCGTTTATCGTTTTATCCAGTCCGCCGGAGACAGAAGCGACAAATAAAACGGCAGTCTACCGTGGTATCGACTGCCGTGGCTCCACCGGCAGGTGTGCGGCAAGCCACCGCACGGCAAAAATACCAATCTTGCTTTTTATATATTTTTAACCTGTCACTGCTGTGAAGGAGAAAGGCCGCAGAGTAGTCAGCAGGTGCCTACAAAAGAGGACCAACAGCGACAGTACTACAGGGAATACTTTCCTTTTTTCAGTTTTGTTTCCCTTGAGCAGAGCGCGCAGGAACAGGGACAAAAGTAACACCAGAGGTCAAAGATTGCACAAAAGATGCATCATTTCAAGAAGATTTGTCTCGAGATCAACGTGCCTCCCTGGCAACCACCCTCAAAAGCAAGAGAAAGGATGATGAACTCGACCGATGCCGCAAGTACTTGGATTCCGCAGGCCCTACCACACGACGAGCGTTTCGTCTGTATGGTTGCGTCGCGTGTCGGGTGGAGTCAAATCGTACGCGTTTCCACACACCACGTTGCACCCCAAGAAGTGGCAGGTCCGCAAAAAAAAAAAATCAGCGGCATTGGAGATCGCATCCCTCGTTGCGCCAGGCTACGGAGCTCGCTCCAGGCTGCGGAACCCCCTCAGTGGTGTTGCGCCGCATTTTGTGTCCCGCGTGTTGACACGCACGCACTCCCAGAGAGCGAGAGCACAGCACCACGATGGCGTTCGTTGTTCCTCCCACCACAAGCTTCGGAGCCAATCCATGGCTTCCGTGTGCTCCACAATGGCGGAAAGCCACTGACGCCAAAACTACCGTCGCTGCCAGCAGCGGTGCCCGCAGAGCACTGCCTCGCCGCGCAGCAAATCCAACACATGCTGCAGCAGCGGCAACACCAGCAGCAGCAACAGCAGCAACTGCAATGACATCAGCGGGAACCAGCACGTCACCGACGCCAACCCAGCCACTTTCTGAAGACACAGCGGGATCGTCAGCGGCACGTAGATTGGGAGTCATCAAGAGAGCGAATATTGCTGGCCTGCACTCGAAAAACTTCGTTCAGAAAGTGCAGTGCATGCGCCCGACGGACTGGCGGGGAGTGCTTCGCGAGCTCCAGATCGCCGAGGAAGCCTCCGACGCCCAGCCATCTGAGTCCAGAATCACGACGTTCATGTACGCCAGCTGCATCTCGCGGATGGCCAAGGCGCGGAGATGGGAAGAGGCGCTAGACATCTTGCAGAGGATGAGAGCGCGAGGCCTGCAGCCCAACTCCTACTGCGTGAGCTCGGCGATCAAGGCGTGCGGGTCGAAGAAGCGGTGGAGGGAGGCGCTGGAGCTCCTGGAGCGCCGGCGGGAGGACCTCGGGGAAGGGAGCCCTGTCGACGAGTACTCATTGAGCGCGGCGATCTACGCCTGCGGTAACTCGGGGGAGACAGGAAAGGCGCTGGAGCTGCTGGAAGAGTTGAAGGTCGGCGGGAAGACGCCTCACCCGTTCTCCTATACCGCGGCCATCTCGGCCTGCGGGGACAGCGGGATGGGGGACAAGGTGATGCAGCTCTTCGAGGACATGAGGCAGGCTAGGGTGCGCACCGACGGCTTCATCGACGTGTACTGCGTCAAAACCACCATCACGGCCCTCGCCAAGAGTGGCAAGTGGAAACAGGCGCTCAAGATTTACCTCGAGATGCTGGACGTCCTGCCCGCCAACAGCGACTCACCCGAGGCCAACCTCAACCTCGACGCCTTGCGCGATGCCAGCTTCGCGTGCGGGCGCGCGGGGGACTGGAAAGCCTCGCTCAAGCTGCTGGACGAAATGCGCGCCGTGGCGATCACCCCCGAGAGCGGGTGCTACAAGGCTGCCATGCAGTCCTGCGTCCGCAACAGGCAGTGGGAGAGGGCCACATGCCTGATCGACGAGATGACTCTCACGTACGGGATGGTGCCCGACCTGGAAACCTACCAGGTGGCCATCAGCGCCGCGGGGTGCGCCTCACTGTGGCCCAAGGCCACCAAGATGCTGCGCCAGATGCGGCAGAACGGGCTGCAGCCAGACCCCAAGACCTACAGCGCGGTCATCACTGCTGCCGGCAAGGCCAAGAAGTGGGAGGAGTCCCTCCGGCTGCTCGACGACATGCGGGAGGTCGGGGTGGAGCCAAACTGCCACAACTTTAACGCGGCGATAGTATCCTGTGGGGTTGCCCGCCAGTGGCAACGCGCCGTTGGGCTCCTGGGCGAGATGAAGGGTGGCGGGCTCGAGCTGGGTCTCTCCTCGTACAACGCTGCCATCTTGGCGTGCGCTACTTCTGCGCGAGGGGTTGAGGCGTCGGCGCTCCTGGGGGAGATGCGAGCGGCCGGCGTGGAGCCTGACGCGGCCACCTACCTCGCCGTGATCACGGCCTGCGGGAAGGCCGGGATGTGGGAGCAGTCCGTGGTACACCTGCGCGAGATGACCGCGCAGGGGTTAGCCCCAAACAGCCCCATCTACACCGCCGTCATCACCGCCTGCGGCCACGCCAAGGAGTGGGAGAAGGCGCTCGAGATCCTCGCGGAGATGCCGGCCGCCGGCGTCAAGGCCAGCGTCCACCACTACAACACGGCTCTAGACGCCTGCGACAGGGCGGCGCAGGGCGAAGCAGCCGTGGCGCTTCTGCACGATATGGTCGGAGCTCCCGGGGTGAGCCCCAACCCGGGTAGCTACCAGTCGGCGATGTCGGCCTGCGGTTCCGAGGGCCGGGTCGATCTAGCTCTGGAGTTGCTGGAGGAGGTCAAGGCGGCAAGCAAGACGAGGCCGGAGCTGGCTCTTTGTAGCAAGTTGTACGCGTCGGCGCTCCAAGCGTGCGTCAGCTCCCCCCCTGACGGGTCGATCGCGCGGAAGGCCAAGGAGCTGCTCGAGGAAGCGCAGGGGGCGGGAATCGCGCTGAACTGGCGCTCGTACAATTGCGCCATCATTGCGGCGGCGAAAGCGGGGGAGGTTGACGAAGCGCTTGCCAGGCTGGCCGAGATGAAGGACGCCGGGTTGACACCGAACATGATGAGCTACAGCTGGATCTTGCCCGCGCTCGCTAGCCGGGAGCGGTGGGAAGAGAGCCTGGCGCTCGTCGAGGAGATTAAGGGGCACGGGCTGCTGCGCACCCCGTTCGCGTACTCGGTCGTCGTTGCGGCCCACTCCGCCGCCGGCAGGTGGGAGGAGGCCTGCGGCGTGCTCGAGGACATGATTGCGGCGGGGGTGGTCATGAAGGCCGGCGTTGCGGGGAAAGTTGCCGCCGAGACGATGAGCGGTCGGAAAGGAGCGGAGAGGGCGCTGGAGCTGCTGGAAAGGGGGGTGGAGGCACCTGGCTCTGATGCAAGCGCGGCGTCGCCGTGAGGTGACTGCTTTGCTTGTGTGGTGA